AACCTCAGCCATGAGTTTACCAGCTAAACAGATAAGACAAAGACTTTGCAAAGCAACAAGCACAACCAAAGACAATAACCTACTTAAAATCACATAGCAGACTCTATCTTTTCCTCTGATTTCCATATTCCTATCTAGGGAGAGTACTGTGACAACACTACTCTTCTGTATTTCCTAGTAGGAGGTTGCTGCATCAATGTATTCTATGATGGGGACACCATATACAGTTTTTCTACCCTCACTCAGATTCTTGCTTTCTGCTAGAAAAGGAAAAGTTGACACATCTCTCCTATTCACAGTAGCTTGAAAATCACYCAAGATTGTAACTACAATTGTTTTTTTCAAGCCTCCCTGGCAATTTAAGGTAGTTTGCCTAGATGCAGCCACTGTTTGGGCTAGCAGTCAACAGGTCCACAGCCAACACTCTGGAAATCAMCAAATGTAAGTGAAGTTTGGAGTGCGAACATCAAATGTTCAGGTGTCAGTCYGCTCTCCCCAGCCTGAAATTACTCAGAGGCATTCTGTGTGTTGAGGCACAGAGGTGTAGGGATATACACACATAAAGCACTCAGGCTTTTAGGAGAGCTCAGACAGTGAGGCTCGTGGATCAAGTGTACCAACACTGTCCCTTGAAGGGATGCAGGCAGATAATCAGAGATACTTAGAAAGATGCAGCAGGTCCTAGCTGCAGTTGAGTTCCTCCTAACACAACTAACCTCAAAAAAAATTTAGTCTGGCACACCACTTCTGACTAGTTGCCAGGTTGTGGTATAGCCAACTGCCTAACTGAATGTATGGGCATTTGTTGTCTATAGAAAAAACAAGGTGAAATGAAGAAACTACATTTAACCTCACATCTGCAAAACACCTGCAAATTTGTCCTCTTGGGGACATATCCATAGTTTGCTTGCYTTATAAACCAATTGATAAAGGTCCTTTTACATCATGTCTAGTGAAATTGGGGCTAACTATCGTAATCTAATAAGCATACTATTTATAAAGGAGTCACATCCAGAACTATTATCATTTCCATCATTTTCACAGGTACCAGTGTATCATGTCCCTGTTAGATCCTGCCTACACTCCATTTCACAGCTTCCCTGAAAGCTTTTGGTCTTTTTTCCTGATTATGGCTCTGTTGGATGTTACATCAGTAGAAACTGTCTATGTTTCCACAGCAAAGCCATAAAATCATGATTTGACCTAGTAACAGAGATACTGACATCCATATCCTCCCTGTTATCTATGACCCAGCTTAGATCAGGAGACTGAGTTTTGCAGCACAATGTTTCTACAAATGGGTCTGCAGATCCAGTTATAATAGCTAGGTAAGAGTCTATTCTGCTTTCATCTCAAGGAAGGTGAGCCCCTCTTTCTGCTACTTATGCCAATGTAAAACCGTTTTATCCCCCCCAACACCTCTGAAGCCAAAATRTATTGGTACTCTAAAAATCAGCAGATCAGACCAATCAAATGTCAAACTATTCTATTTTCCAGTATACTTTACAGATATGACCTGCTCCCCATGCTCTTCTGGCTCTAGMCAACTACTATCAACTCCACACAGAGCTTATTGTCACTTTGCAAATGAAGGAACAAAACTCTTAAGGACAGAAACAGTATTTTATGTGTCAGCAGTAATGACCTTGAAAGTCTTGAACACATGAAGGATTTTTATCATCATACTCAAGAGTTTCTTTCCTTCGGCTTAATCTCCCTGCCAGTGCCGGAAGATGACTGTCACAAAGGCCCAGATCCTCAGTAGAGCTGGCACAATGGGGCTGAATTTGCTAGGTAGTGCCTGAATTCAAAGGCTTTTAGAATCACAAGAAGGTGCACTTGGGTCAATCTTCCCAAAAGATATAAAGGGAATGTCCCAAGGATTTGATATAAGCTGATTGACCAGTCTCACTATATGTATTGCCAACTGGGATGGCAGATCTTGCTGCTACAAAGACTGACATATATTAGAAAGTAAGAAAGAAAGAGGGATGGCATAAACATAAAAAAATATGTAGGAAAAGGAAAACCTTTGGCGAATAAAAAAATGAAATGACTCACTGTGGGAACTGTAATATGCAAGAAATTCTGATCTTGTTTGAGTCAATTTTCTACCATCTCCATGAATATAGATAGAGGAAGTATCTACAAAATCTTCTCAGGGAASTAACTCTCATCCTGTCTCTTACCCTCCTGCAACCCTAAAAGCTCTCCTTTGCCATAGTTACTGCAGCTGACCTTGAAGATGACAATTTACAAGTGCTGAGCGTATTTTAAGCTGATCTTGCATGTGACTCAGTAGAGAGAAATGAGGAAAGGCAGTCCCATGGGAATTCCCAGCTCGCTACACAGTTCCACAGATCACCACAGCTGCAAGAGTTGGAGATGAAAGAAGAGGAGGAGGCATTTCCTTTGTTCACATATATCCTGCCATCAGAGACCATGTTTATAATTTAGCAAATATCTCAATAACAACAACAATTGGGTAAAAAGGATACAGAACAACCACTTTCTTGGTGTATCAAAAAAGGCATATTATTCAGCTAGCCCTAGATGTAGACCTTTCCTCACTAATCTGGAGGATGGGAGCTGTTATATTTTAAGTCATAATTTAAGGAAGTTTGATATTTTGGAGCACCTGAAATGAGATGATAAGATGATATATGTTTCACACACATAGCAATTCTCTATTGCTATTCTCTATTCCCCAGTGAGGAACAGTGGTTCCCCATAAAAAGAGAATGTCTTAGATAACAGGAAGAAGGTTCAGTACACCTAGCTCATGACGCTGAGGTTGTTCTAATAAAGAAGTTTAGATTCAAGCCAAGTCTTGATCACTAGCCCAATGCTTATTTCTTAAATAACTCTTGCTTGTCACTTCCAGGAAGGTAGGCATAAAACTGAAGAATCAAGAGAACCTACAACCCTGTCTAGGCAGACGCTCTGCCTGTACATTTCTCTTGCTTCAGTCTCAAGAGGCATCTGGCTGTGCCTAATTAGCCTGAGCTTTGTGTGGCTTTAGCAGTAGGAGCTGGCTAGGCCATGAAGCAGATCCTCAAGGGTTAATCCCAAGGCATTTTGTTTCTATGTGAAAAAGAAACACTAATGCTCTCAGGAGGAGAATAAAAGCCTTCATAGCATGAGGTTAATCTGCTGACCCAAGGCACTAGTTGGGCAGTTCACACCATCACCAAGCTCTTCAAAGCCCTAATCTTCCTAGTTCAGCACTCTATTGCTGACTGCCTGCTTCCAGCATGCTAAAGTGGATGCAACTATTTATTCTGCAAGGCATCACAGGCATTTTTCAGCAGAAAGGTGTTAGAAAGGCAAGAGCAAGGCTCTGTCCACAGGAATTTGTAATGGCTGAAACGCATCTTTATTCAGAATCTGTCTCAGCACAGTGGTAAGTATCTGTTTAACAGCTCTCTGCCTGCTACTCCTGTCACAGGAGGAGGTAATAAGGAGCCATAAAAGTCAAACTCCATTTTAGCTCACAGTGGAGATAATTGGATTTAATAGAGACCACAGTTTCTAAATGAAAATGTATGATCACCACCATGGTAGAAGGCATGCATAGGAAAGATATTCTTGGTGAAAGAAACAGAACTGTTGGTGAATGACCAGTGTAGCTGTTTGAGCAGGACATTGAGGCTAGTGTTGGTGTCCAAGGGGAAAAAAATAAAAAGACTCTGAAATGAGCACAATGTTTTTGAAAATACCATGTTCTATGCAGGTGACCAAGCACCCCGAGAGGACTAATTGCAGCTCCTTCAAGATATAAGGCCACGCGATTGACTTTATAYCATTCTTATGATATTGTGCTATGACATGATCCAAATGCACTGAAATGTCCCTATACTACCTTAACCTATATGGAGAGTGACACTGTTATTAGCTTGGCCATGATAAAAATGTAGAAGGTAAAAATACGGGGACATGCGGTAGACAAGTCATTAAACTTATCCATATCTCATTCATGTGCAGCTAGACTTCAAATGGAAGGAAACCATACTACTTCTACTGACGTTTTTGTGCTTTACTGCACAGATAAATAAGTTGGAAGCTGGACTTTCCACTCCAGTCTGAGTGGAAGTCCAGAGTGAGACCTGACACATATTTGTAAAATTATTCAAAACACAAACCAGATAATACTGTTCCGAGAAGAAGAGTATGTTTCTCTGGGCACTGTGGCCTTCCAAACCAACTGCTCGGCTTCTGAACTGGAGGTGGTTTCCATCTATCCAGGCAATTGGAGAAGCAAAAATGCTAGCGCCTGAATTCCTTCATATCAGAGGTTAGTCTTATCCACTGATAAGGTGTGCTTATGCATGGTATTTGAGTTTGTGTGCCCTAGAAATTGTGCCCTAGAAAAATGACTGAGATTTGTGGCGAAAGAACCAGATTCTCAAGCAGCACAAACTGATCTTCCTTTGAGACTGAGATACACATACCTAAGGGTTTTGCCTGGGTAATCTAAAGACAGAAGTATCTTCTTTTTGCTATTAAGCCTGATACATTTGTCTGCTGAAAGCACTTGACTTGACTTGACTTGACTTGACTTGACTTGACTTGACTTGACTTAAGCAGGGGGGTTGGACTAGAGGACCTCCAAGGTCCCTTCCAACCTTAAGCATTCTATGATTCTATGATTCTATGATTCTATGACTGTGAATACTCCCTGGTTTGCATCCCTTGAAACTGCTCAGAACAGATCTGTCCAGCACAATCCTACCTGCCATATCCTAACTCATTTTTGATAGCATATACCTATTCTTCTGTCACAGAAGGATAGAGTCCTCCGCACTTTTGTTTCAGTCCCATTCTCATTAACGTGGTAATTTTTTTCTTGTAGCAGCTGGAACACATCACTGAGGTGTCTTCAGAGCCCTCCCCTCAGCTCAGATATTGCAAATATTTTGGAGAAGAACTTATATGGTGAGATGAAGCCTGAACCTTCCTTTCTTTAATCTTACAGCATATAAGGCATTCAAGGGCCTTACCTGTCTTAGTTTTGTTCCCACCATGGATGCACTGCTGTCAAGCACAAAGACAACATTCTTTGGCAATGGAGGAAGATCTTTGGGGGCGAAGTAATGCACAAAATACCCATTAAGAATCTGTGGAAGAGCAAGAAAGTCAAGAATGAAAGATAGGTCATGTTGTTCCATAATGTTTCATATATATCATTATAAGGCCTTTGCTGTGAAGAGCAGGTTGGGCATACCTGATCCTGTTTTCAGTGTCTGTATCTACATTTCAGGTGTGTTACTTGATATCCCTCCCATTCCTGAACCCCTAATTCCTTCCAAATACAGCAAGGATACAGGCTAGAAACACAAGAATAAAAAACACAAAAAACTTCTGAGAACCTGGTYTTATTTCCAAATTTATACAATCAGTGAAACCAATATATATACTGGCAAACAGTTCACTGGCTATAGCCATAGTGCACTGAAGCAGTGACCTCCAGAATATCATAAGCATGACATTTTGTTCATCATCATAGTCCCTYGGTTTGAAAGCCTGCAGGCAGTGTCAAAGCAAGGTACTGAGTACCTGCGGGGTATATCTGAATATCATAGGGACCATTTTAAAGAGGTGCTCTAGCTTCATCGGCATCTATCCCTGTGAGTTTAGTTCAGAGGGTAAGTCCCAGTTCTTGTARGTCTCGATAAACCATGACTACCAGGAGGAGGGCCAGAGTGGAATTCCAACTGATGGAGAAGAATTAGACATTTTCCAGAGAATACAGGTTGGTTTAGAGGAAAGAATGGTGGACATCATGCCAGACAAAAGAAGTCAGATGAGTYAGAGATCTGAGGCGAGGTGGAAAAGCTAGGAGGAAGGGGTAAGGAGTGTTTTTTTCTAATAAAAAGAGATAATGACAGAAGATAAAATGAATACTAAATGAATACTAAAGACAGAAACAGGATCTGAGAAAATTTAGAGACAGTTTTGGAAGCAAGTGATAAGACAAAATTGTCTTAAAGACCAGGAAACGCGAGGGGCCTACTTGGTAGAAGCAAAGTTGCAGTACAGGAAAAGAAATGAAAATAAACCTAAGCTTTGGCCCTAAATAGACTGTGAGGAGAAATAGAAAGYTGTAAAGAGGGCAGGAATGTTTGATATGAATTAATTGGGGGTGAGCAACAAAAAACAGCTTCCTTTTCTTGCAGATGTCCAGAGACCTCAGAAGGTCACAGAAAATGGCACAAAGCTGCAAAAGAGATGGAGTTTTCAAACCTTTTTTTTTTTTTAAACTGAGTGGGAAACATAGAGAAGTTCATAACAGGAGGTACAAAAAAATGTTTAAAATGCATGCACATGATTTATCATTAATTTCTTCCTTATACACAAGAACTGCATAAAGGTTTTGCATGCTAACTAACTCACTTTGAAGCTATCAAACTGGAAAGGAGTAGATTTTGGCTTGTATGTACAGCTTTTACAGCTGAAAAAGATGCTGGGTTTAGATCATCTTGCTAAATCAGCCAACCAGACCTTACCAGGCTGACTTCAGCAAAGATAGAAATAAAGATAAGTCATTTTCTGATAGCTGAAATTTACATTATGTCAAAAATTGCCCAGTTCATAGCTACTCATTTCTATATATACTATTTCTACATTGTCCTCCATCATGGGAATATCTTGTATTAAAAAAGAAAGAAATTGATATGCAATTTTTGAGATGTAGTGCTATTTTTGTAGGATATCATGAAAAAAAAAAAAGAAAGAGAGAACATAGCAATTAAAATTTGAAGTCTGACAAAGTGAAAGGCAAATGCAAAAAGAAAGCAAATAAAGTACACACTTTTTTAAGTTCATCTTGTGGCTGCTAATTGCTTTTATTTTAGATAATTCTTCCAAGATGGAGAACAGAACTTTAGATAGTTCTTCCAAGACAGAGACCTCACTTGGAAAATATTTGCTAAGGTATATATAACATACAGAACCTTCTCAGATTTAGTTAACAGCCCTGGAAAAATGCATACAGTACCTGAACATCCCCAACACTCAGCTCTCTGTTGACATCATATCTAATTATGAAGTCTCCCAAAATGCCATTTCGAGCAATCCTGGTTTGCTGAACAACATTGGGGCTGAAGGTTACTTTAGCTAGGGTTTTGGTATGTCCAATAACAGTGGAAGGAGGAGGAGAGGCATCACCTGTGGAGATAAAACCATAATAGTACATTTTTTTGCTATTATCCTAGACCTACCTCAGCACAGCTCACACAGTATTACCATGGAGTTAGGTCGGCTAACACAGTTACATGTTGATAAAAATGCAACTAATCAATGATAAAAAAAGAACTCAATAGTCTCTTTAATTTGAAAACTAATCTTAACAACACAATGTTTTCAGGAAAATAAATTTTTAGGCAAAATTCCTTTGTTCATCGCTCAGATGTTTGGAAGTCATAGAACTCAAATGCCAGATATTCTCTGTATAACTGAAAATCACCTTCTGTGAAGAAAACACACAYAATTTTAGGCCTTTAGGTTGTATTCATTCCAGCCAATTCTAGGCATCTAGAACTCAGATTCTATATGTGAGCTCCAGAGAGCCAAAAAATATAGGATTCATCTGACTTGTTTAAACATCTCCACCAGGATGAGATGAATCATACTGCAGAGTTCTTTGTATTGTTTATAAAGAAATCCTGGGGCGACTTATTCAGATATATGTCTGTGTTGTAGACATATGAGGTAGGATGGATCTGACTAATTACAAATGTCTGGGTGTAATGTCTACATCCAAACAAGTCATCTTAGCTCCTTTATATTTACCAGAGAGTTTTCATTGCAGTCGTTGGAATCTCAGACTAATTCATTGAGTCTAAAGCCAACATTTACTAATGCAGTCATACAAACTGCAACCATGAGATAAAAATTCACCTAATATCCTGGAGCCCTTCCCCAGCTAAAGAAGAGTGAGGTGCATCTCAGAGAAATGCAGAGTATATCTCAAGAAAGAGAATCATCTAGGTCTGAATCACCCTGAATAAACCTTTTCCCGTGATGGGAGTTTCATTTCTAAAGTTGAATGATAATGAAAATTTCTTGCTTTCTCTTCATATGGTCAAAATCCTACCTTCTCTCTTTCTTGATGTGTCAACTGCTGGTTCATACTGACCTGATTAAGAACTCTTACATGAGATTGGTCAAAGTTCAGAGCTGGCTTTGAATAGCCCTAAAGTTTGAGGGTTTTCCACCTTGTCCAAATTTACTACTGAAAACCTCCCAAAAAATACTAAATTGATATCCTACTTGGATACTTTCGCAGACATGGTGATTATACCAACACTATTCTGAAGCAGGGAAATGTTCTAATATGTGATTACATGTTAAATCCAGACAGCTACAGTTGTTTGGAATTAGGTGCTGAATTATACTGTGTGTCTGGTTCTTAGTTCTTGGTTGAAAATGATCCAAATATCTCTAGTATAGCAGAGAAAAGGTGGGTGAGATTTAGCCTCATTTTGAGCATTCACAGTGTGCATCTGAGCTGATTTTCTTGGCTTCTGCTACGCTCAGTAAAGATCTAGTCAACAGTGTCAGGGGACAAGGATATGATAGCTGGCTRATTTTAGACATCTACTTTAGGATGATTTTAATTATGTTCTAGGCTCCATTAACAATACTGATCACAATGACGATGTGCAGGCAGTTTTGGAGAGCTTCTCCCAAGGGACACTGCGTAATGGGAATGGCACTTCTGCCYCTTTGTGAAGTGCTTTGAGCTGGGTTAAAGGAATGCAACACAACAGTTGCATGCAGCGTGCAACACAATCCACCTCTTATCCAGATTCCAGAGTGCTTTACAAAACTGGACACATATTATTATATCCATTTAACATGTGGGAAAACTGAAGCAGGCAGTGGTTACCTAACTTACCTGCCTTCACACAGGCCAAATCCATAAAAATGACAAGTCCAGTATTTGGATACTTGTAGTTTCATAAAAATGATTATCTATAGCTGTGGTATTTACCCTGAAGTGCTGGGTGAAGTTAAGACTTCTCCAGGCCAAAAAAAAAAAAAAAAAATGAGTCATAAAACAATAGCACTATATGACTTTATATCCTTGTTGATTTGGCTTTACTTTCCTAGCTTTCCTGTGAGTCCATTTGAATATACAAGGCACAAAGCCAGATAACTGAGGCAGGGAGGGGATTTCTCTTCATTTCAGCATATGTCCTCATGGTTAATAAAGTCAATTTAGAATCTGTTCATCTACAGCATAAGCTATAAAAAGAAATTGTAAGTTAAAGGGCGTAGAATATGAAACAAGCCCAGTGGCGAAACTCTTATCCCAATGAGGTTGAATGACAGATATTATTGAACTTCAAGGGTCAAGAATTTACTTTACATCAGGCCTTCTCTGACTTAGCCAAGTTCAATGCACTCGTCMTGACTGAAACAGAGAATACAGCCAAAGCACTGAAGTAACTTAAGAATACTAGAGACTCATAAGCCTTGAAGGAGGCTTGTGAGAGCTTTGACCTTTACTTTAAAGTGCTTGTATGCTCCAGACATCCTCAGACAAATAAAAGTCATAAAGTAATAGCGATGTAGGAGCTTTCTATCTCCACGTTGATATATTTTTACTTACAGCTGCCCTCTGATCTGATTTGATAGAAGTAATATACATTTCTAATGCAGTTCTTTCTGGATTGTACTAGMCTTCCTGGATTTCCTGCATGCCTTATGTCACTTCCCTGATCCCATTTAACTGATAATATGTGTGAAATACATTCCTCAGAATGGCTTAACAGTTCATTAATATTTTCTGATTTATTTGAGGATTTCACTTTATTTCTCCTCAAATGCTGAAAAGCAACACTGTCACTAGTTTGGCTGCCTGGACATATGAGACACAAGATCTGTGTCAGTGAAAGGCAGTCTCACACTGGAAACAGAAGTTCTTCCTTTATAACTGTTATACATATATATGTATACATATGTTATACATATATATATATGTATAACATATATACATATATGTTATACACATATATGTTGTGGCATTATGGACTTCACTTCTGTCCACTTCTGCTTTTGCAGTATACATGTTGATGGTTGAGTATGGTACAATGTGCACCACTAAAACCTGAGTTCTAGTCCTATCACTTCTATGTACTCCGTTCAAAATTGAGTAAAGTCCTCTTGTTTCAGTCTTCACCTGTTAAATGGGCATAATCATATATATGAAATTTTGTAAAGCACTGTGGGACCTAGATGTGAAGAGGATCATGTTGCATTCCTCTAACACTCTTCAAAACACTTAATGGAGGTGGAGAAGTGTCATTCCTCATTATACAGGCAGTGTTATGGGAATCCCTTGAGAGGAGCTTTCCAAGGTTGCCTGTACAAAGTCATGGCCAGTGACAGAAATGGCTAGGAAAGCAGCTCCAGTTTTCTTCATATTCACTCTTCTTCCATTGCCAAGCAAAGACAGAGAAAAAGAGAGTTTAATAAAAAATAATCAGAATCATTTTTTTCCTAGAATAATGAAAAACCGATATAGAAGGCATATTACTAACCTATCCCATCTTCTTAGGCAGAATCTACTTTCTATAATGTCTGAAAACATTTCAGCAATGAAAACTCAGTCATTGCCTTTGCCAGTCCCTTCCAAAGCTTCACTCTTTCACTATTTGAAAGATATTTTAAATGCCTCACATTTTTCCTTCTGTTTTACAAGCCTCTGACCTTCTGTCTTATTTCTTAGTGACCCAGAGAGCAYACTGCTCCTTTCTCCCTTGCAGAAGACTTTTATATATTTGAAAGCTGTTACTATGCTTTTCCTCAGGTTTCTCTTCTCAGCAACACTTAATATCTGGATCAAAATTAGTTTACTGGACAGATTCTCTTCAGATAAGTAAGTGAGACAGGGAAGTCTATATGACATTGCAGAGTGCAAAGTGTGGTTAAACTCCAAAAAAAAAAAAAAAAAAAAAAAAAAAAGCAGAGATTTGTGCCCAGATTGAGCTAGGGATTAGACCTTTAGACATTTATTTTATCAAGTTCAATTAAAGATAATTCCATTAAAAAAAAGAGCAGAAGCATTTTACATATGAAAATGTAGTCTTCATATGATCAACAGTGAAATCCAAATTATTCTGGAGACTGGAAGAGTCAGGAATGAGCTCAAGTGCAAAGCTCATCCTCTACTAAGAAGTGGGAGCTTCTAGACAACTGGGTTAGAAAGATCAAAAAATTTCTGAGGAGTGAGACTCCGAAGGAAAATAGGGCAAGTCTTAAGTAGCCCGATGTCCTGCCTGTGTCTGTGACTAGTTCTCACTTTACTGCCCTGGAGGAAACAGGATGAGAACAGACAGGATGAGAACAGTCATTAGGATTCTAGGTAAGGCATCATTCAGAAAATGACTCCACTATGTGGTCACCAGAGAAGACCAGGACCACCAACCTCAAAATTGGTTGTGTTGAGTTTTGTGYAAGGCAGATTCAGAAACTTGCATATGTCAGAAGAACATTTTCCAAAACTCCCATGCCTAATAACTTCTTTTTGGGGAAAAAAAAAAGCTGTGCGCACAGGAGTCACTGATAAAGGAAATATCCTAGAAGGATCACTTTGTTTCATATTCAGAGAGGATGTAAGCAGGACTTCCCAATGGCCTCTGCCTATAAGAAAGCACAGTTTGACTTTGTGTAAATCCCTGGAAACTTATGGAACCAAGGTCAGTCTTTGTAGCTCAGGCCCTGACACTGAATAGGAGGCAGATTTGGACGCTTCACTGTTTCTATTCGTAGTGCTGTGATTTCTGTACTGCTTTATAAATATGAAAAAGAAATGTGTCCTTCATCCTTTCTCATCAAGGGGTATTTTCAAGGACTTTAAGTCCTCCGTTCCTCATTTGGTCATGTTTTAAGCCATGACATCATTTGGGGAACCACTGGAAAGACAGCGTCTGGCATCGTTTGCTGGCCTTGCTAGATTGCTGCTGTGTTATACAGTCAAGTGATCCTAAAGACAGACAGTAGGTATCATCATTTTCTTGTTTCATTCTCAAGTTGAAGACTGTCCACTAAGAAGCCACTCTTTAGATGTAAGACTCACAAGTAATATGTCTTTCACTTCCAAAATATTGACATTCCCTGGAGGCCTCGGTGCCTGTGCAAATCTTCTGGTTTGCAGCTTAGCATGTCATATGAAAAAATAGGCTTTGTGGGGAGGATTTAATAATTCAAACATTTTGTTTTCTGGATCAAACACAAGCTCTGACAATACACTAGAGTTCAACAGATTTCCAAGTGAAATAGTTTTTGTTCTGGCCTTGCCCTCCCTAGGAGTATTCTTGTGGCTTCCACTTGTGCTCAGGAAGGCAGGAAGTTCCTATTATGTGCATAGACTAGGATTGATCTTGTTGGCAAGAAAAGGTTACCCGCAATAAATCCCTCTTATTCTAAACAAGCTCTCCTTCTCTGAGACCTTTTTGAGACCCTACTCAGACCTTCTGCCAATTCTTTTTTTTTTTTCCTTTTTTTTTTTTTTTTTTTTTTTCTCTTCATTGAGATCAGAAAGGAGGACAAACAAAACTGCAAAATTTAGTAGCCCTGACACTCACTTGAGGGTGTATAGCTGCCTTTGCTCTGATAGGGACACAACAAACACCATCATGCCTACCCATGATGGACATGGATGCCCAAAAGAGTATCTGGCACTTCAGTGACTTTCTATGAGTATTTACACCATAGCAACTGGTTTTCACCAACTGCACAGGTAGATCTAGATACAAAGGATGAACAGCTATTCTAGGCAAGAAGCAAATGAATGCATAAAGCACAAAGAATCTGAGTTTCAGTTACTCTACACACAGTGCAAAGCCACATATCTTTTATATATCTTTTATATATCTTTTATATATCTTTTATATATTTTTATATATATATTTTAATATGTATTTTTATATATTTTATGTACATTTTATTGATTAAGGAAAGATTATGGAATGCAAAAAAATTGGCCCATTTTTATATAATCTGTTTTAAATCTCCTGAAGCACAGAGCAAAGAATTAATAGTACTCACGGACTGCCATCTGGACAGCAAGACACAAGAATTTTCCCTATATGTCACTTATAGGTAAAAATTTCCATACTGTACTAGACCAAGAGCATGTCTGCTGTGCTTAGCCTGTCTCTAGTACTGAACAAAACCAGATGTTTTGCAGGAATGCATACATGACAAGGCACTATGATACTCCCCAAGAAGTGAAAGAGGATTTCTGTCCTTGATGAGGTGCAGAGCACATTCATCACACTGTGTGTAGATGTACAGCAGAAATACTATTTAGCTGTATACACCCTGACCTGAAGCTAATTCAGGTCATTGTGAGCCTTGATTTCAATGGTATTTGGATCAAGGCAGTAGGACCAGCACGAGCAGTTAGTTTAACTCCATGTTTATGTGCTTTAGGGCAGTTCCTTGCCTTGTAGACATTAAATAGCTCCATGGTTTTAGTAGTATTATACTGGTTAGAGTAACTGAAGATCAAGTCCTGAGGATCAAGTCCTACACCCTGCTTCAGGGACAGATTCACTCTCTTCTTCATAGTATGGCTTTTTTGTCAACATTTGGCAATCACAGTATCCTGTACTACACAGTCAGTTTTTTGGAAAAAACACTTTTAAGCTGTTCAAACAAAATGTAAGGATAACTGGCAGGTAAGAGTAGACCTTTACGTCACACTTTTACGCCACACTGGGTGCTTTGGCAAAATGTAAATTTTCCTATTCGAATTTCCCATGTTCTAAATTGCAGGATTTCCTATCTGCCTTGGCATGGATGGATAGGAAAAACAATTCACTTAAAATAAACAGTTCCCAGGAGATGTGGAGCCAGGGAAGAGGCTGCTCCAGTGTTGAGTACAAGGCCTAAAGATCCATTTTAAAGCTGATAAAAACAACAGAAAATAATTCTACTGAGTTCAGTGGGATCACTTCCATATTTAAGAAGCTTCAGTCTTCTCACATGCTTATACACTCATACTATATAGACACACCCTCGTATACATAATAGAACAAAAGCCAAGACTGAATTCCCACCACTAAACCTCAGTTCATAATCCTGAAAATCCTTTTCTGTCATAGCTATTATAGCAGCTCTCTTGAATCTGGAGACTGCTCAGTCGATGTATGAAAGACATATTGCTGACAGCCTGCAATGCTTAGAGATTTTCTTGTGACTAAATGCAGTCACCTTTGGGATGGAATGTGCTTGCCATACAGTGCAGCAAGAGCTAAGAAAGGAAAATGAAAAATGTATCTTTTTAAAGTTGGAATTTGCTACAAGAATTCACATCTAGTGAGCTGCTAGTATTCTATTTTGTTGTCTTCAGAAGTGTCCTTCAGGTTTTTTTTTTGGTGTGCTGGTCTCATACTGTGCAGCCTTAATAAACTCTTGAGACTTTGTTAAATAGCTCAATTGGAGAAGAGGATAATTGAATGTACCACCATTCTATGCAGTTACCCAAGATTACCGTGGAGAACTCCTAACCGCCAGTCCAGCTCCTGAGAAGTTCCAAAGAGTAATAAAGTCATGGGTCATAAAATCTCTCCTTACCTTCAACCTTCCCATTGCCTTTGTGCTTGCTGTTTCGAAGGGGAGGCACTTCCAGTGAAACTATGCCCGAGTTCTCCAGTATATTCACCTCAACTCGTAACCTCCCCACCAGTTGCTGGGGCCGGATGCTGATTGTATACTCGTATTTTCCCAGTCGCCTTTGCAAGAGCTCTTCATAATGCAGTAGGAAGTTGGCTTGCATCTTACGAGGAATACTAATGGAAGCTTTGAATGTCTCATAGCCGTTCTCCCTGGAAATAAAATCCAAAAATGTCTTCACACTCTACACCATATACTATACCCTCCAATGAATGATGAATCTGAATTTTGTTGGTCAAGTGAAAACATTTCACACTAAGAAATGCATGAAAACAGCAAACAATAAATATCCTAATATTCCACAGGGCACCATCCAAAAAAAGAAACTTCTAGTGGAAGAGACCTCTGTCTCTAAAGCCTTAGATGGCTTCTTTTGGAGAGAAATAAAGCAACGCATATAGAACCTGGAACAAGGCCAGAGGAAAGGCTGTCCCTTAATTGGACGTATAAGATTTGCAAGACTCCTATTTAAGTCTTCACTCTGCTGCTAACTCATTGCAATAATTTAGCAAAGCATGGCACAATTCCTCTTCTTTAGCATTAGCTTTATATACCTGCATATTCAATGGGGAAAAATAGAGTCCYTAAGATAATCCCAACACTTGACACCTCCCCTAAAGAGTCCATTTCTTCCAACTGACTACAGTATGTCTTCAGAAACCCAACTTACAATTGATATTCAACTTTTTTTTGGCTAATACAAAGCAAGATTWATTGTCACCATTAGTCTCTATAGACCTCCCATAGAGCTCACTGCATCTAGCACTTCTACAATGCTAGGCACTATCATTTATAATATTATTTTTAGAAGGAATACGGAAACATCTCATAACAAGAATGTGAACTTTCAGTGTCATATAGTGCCAATTTTTAATTCACTTATATGAGATTTTGGTGATGTTCACAATTTAGTGAGTACTGAAAGGACTTRAGAGTTACCGGAGAACTCTCTGAAATATATAAAACCTTTTTCTTAATTTTAGTTTTTAAAATAGTTGGAATGACCTCYCAGGTCACACTAATCATCTAAAAATGACTGATAATGATTGCCTACAGAAGAGTACACAACAGGAGAGAAAACTAGTGATGTCTATCTTCATCACTCTTCTACATTCTGCCATTCTTTGTCTGGCAAAGATAGAGTCCTGAGATAGTGTCCATTGTCAAAGGGTTCTTGGTGGATTTTTCCTGTCAAAAAAACTGTCTAGATTTCTGAACCAATGTTGTTTGGCATCCACAATTTCCAGTAGCAATAAACATCATACACGGCTTATGTAAAGAACACCTTGTTTCAGCTGATTTGAGCCTGACCATTTCATTCAATTTTCCTAAGTTTTGCTATGAGAGACAGAAAACAAACTTTCCTTATTCTCCTTCCATATATCATTCATAATATAGCTTCATCTCTATCAGACTATTTCCTTCCCACATGTTTATATTTTTTCTGGTCTGAAGAGTCATAGCCTACTTAGCTTTTCCTTATCACGAATTGAGGTTGGAATAGTGCTACTATCCCAGGTTACTGGGAATAGTGCAAGATTTTCCAGGATAGCAAAATCCAACTTCATCTATGGTGCATCTCTTTCAGAATTATTTGGGGAAATTTATACCTCTGTAAGATTTAAGAGTAAAATAGCATTCAGGGGAACATATAGAATTTTAGATCATAAAGGTGATAGGATTTTTTGCCAATATATGACCAGCACTAAATCAAGTCAAGCACTGAGGGCAGAGTAAGTAAATAAGGCTGCAGAATGCTTCTTGTGGCCCTAATATTGCCTAACTTAGTAATCTTGAAGTTGCAACTTATTCAGTCCCTGTGAACACTGTTTTTTTTTGCCTATTATTGAGGAGGTAACAGGATTTCTTCCCTTCACAAGTGCATCAATTTAATATCCTGGAGCTCCTTCAAAGTGATAAGGTTATTCACAGATTCACAGAATATTTAAGGTTGGAAGGGACCTCTASAGATCATCTAGTCCAACCTTCCTGCTCAAGCAGGCACACCTACAGCATGTGGCACAGGGTGGCATCCAGGCAGGTTTTGAAGACCTCCAGACTAGGAGACTCCACAACCTCCCTGGGCAGCCTGTTCCACTGCTCTGTCACCCTMACAGTAAAGAAGTTCCTCCTCASCTGGAGACGGAACTTCTTRTGYTTCAGCTTGTGGCCATTACCYCTCGTCCTATCGCTGGCCACCAGTGAAAACAGCTTGTCCCTTTCCTCCCTGCATTCTCCCTTCCTGAACTTATACATATTAATCATATCCCCTCTGAGCCTTCTCTTCTCCAGAGAAAACAGGCCCAGCTCACTCAGCCTCTCTTCGTACGAGAGATGTTCCATTCCCTTAATCATCCTGGTTGCCCTTCTCTGGACCCTCTCGAGAAGCTCCACGTCCCTCCTATACTGGGGAGCCCAGAACTGCACACAGTACTCCAGGTGCGGCCTCACCAGAGCTGAGCAGAGGGGCAGAATCACCTCCCTTGACCTGCTGGCAACACTCCTCCTGATGCAGGCCAGGATCCCATTGGCCTTCTTGGCCACGAGGGCACTGCTCACTCATGGTTACCTTAGTGTCAACCAGGACTCCCAGGTCCCTCTCCGTGGAGCTGCTTTCCAGCAGGTCGACCCCTAATCTGTACTGATGCCTGGGGTTATTCCTCCCCAGGTGCAGGACCCTGCACTTGTCCTTATTGAACCTCATGAGGTTCCTCTCTGCCCAACTCTTCAGCCTAGATTTTTTTTTACAAAAGCTTGTGTCAAGGGCTGACTCTCAATAGATCGCAGCGAGGGAGCTGCTCTGCTACGTACRAAACCCTGACCCAGAATCAGGTCGTCTACGAATGATTTAGCACCGGGTTCCCCACGAACATGTGTTTCACAACGGGTGAGAGGYGGCGCCACATCCGTCCACGCTGCTCCCGACCGCGAGCGGCACTCCGCACCGGGCCCRCCCCCGCCTGCCGCCCAGGGKGCGAYGGACCGGCGGGGCGGGCGCACCGAGGYGCCTCGGCGCTGCGGTATCGCTWCGTCTAGGGGGGATTCTGACTTAGAGGYGTTCAGTCATAATCCCACAGATGGTAGCCTCGCTCCAGTGGCTCCTCAGCCAAGCACATACACCAAATGTCTGAACCTGCGGTTCCTCTCGTACTGAGCAGGATTACTATTGCAACAACACATCATCAGTAGGGTAAAACTAACCTGTCTCACGACGGTCTAACAAGGTTGAAAAAAGGCCACCTTCAGTTTCACATAACTCAGAATATGAAAACTAAACCAAAAGGTACTGGTCATGTTCTATTTAGCATCTCCATCTTTCTATAAAACCATGCATAAGTATGTCAAAGTAGCAAAATAAAAATGGGAGGAGAGTATCTCACTTGGCAGAACTCAACCAAAGATATAATACTTACACTCCATCTGTGGGGCTTGGAGGCTTCTTGGTCTTTGCTTTGTCTTCATTGCCATGTTTTTTTTCCTTCCCTGTGACCTCTCCATAATAAGTCTTGTTGCCAATGCTCCTAGAGAGACCAGAGATGACAGTGTGACCACTCTGCAGCTCAGAAGCAGTGACAACTGTGCACTCACTGCAGAAGCATTTGCAGACTGTGCACATGTGAATGGACTAAGTTTGAGGGTGACAGAGCCCTGGAACAGGCTGCCCGGGGAAGTTTTGGAGTCTTCTTCTMCGGGGATCTTCSAAACCCATCTAGATGCCACTCAGTAATGCCCCCAGTAAGCACTTATTTTGTCTCAAATCCACCATCTGTGTCAATATATACTTAGACGTTCTGGGTTACTGCTCTGATGTAGACATTTTTCTGACTAAAACGCTTCTGCCTGGGGATGAGTTACAGGGCTATGGACTCTAGTGAGGAAACAGAACCTTACTTACATAGTAAAGTTGGAGATRAAAGCTGCAGCTGGGATCTGCATCTCAAACACAGCTTCTCGTGCCTCGGATCCACTGTTCACCATGGTGCAGGACACCGTGGTGAAAGCATAGCGAGAAATGATTGTAGATTTCACATTGAATTCTGACATTCGAGGCCTTGTTTCCTATAGGAATCAGAAGGTTACTCATTGAGAGATAGATAACTCACCTCTTCAGTATGTCATTAGATTTAATATTTAATATGCTCTAACAAGTAACTCTCATATAATGAGACTCCTATTAAAAAAAAGCAATCAATAGCAGACAAGATTAGATTTGCCCTCAGAATTTCAGGTCATCTGTGAAAGTTTAACCAAAGACATGGCAATGCCTTTGTTCACATGCAAGGGCAAAGTCAATGTTGGGGAATGGTCTGGGCAGAGCTCTGATTACACCAGCAAAAGCTGGTATATGCTATGAAATGTTCATTCTGTATCCCAAGTCACATCCTTCAACTCTGACTCTCTGAGAGGGTCAGGATTAGCCTTTCACAGCCTGGATGGAAAGAGAAATCCAAAACATTTCCTCATAGGATSTGGAAATAATGTCAGAGAGAAACTGTCCTGTTGGACTGTGCACAAGAGCAGATGCAAGACATCTTAGATGTCTGAGATCACTGTGTGTGGAGCAATATTTTAACACTCATAGAGTCGGATGTACAATTCTTGTAGATCAGCACAAATTTCTGTCAATGGAGTGGCCTGAGCTGCTGCAAATCCATTCTGGAAGCCTCAGCCAATGTATGGAAGAGGCTTAATAAGAAACATACTCTTGACACTGTGATGTCTCTAACAAAATATCCATTCAGCCAACACTGGATTCCTTCCAACAGAGAAGCAGCAGAGACTGCAGTGAATGATGCATGATGTAGCAATGGAAGCTGACATGATGTAGTAATGGAAGCTGAATGCCAATTTCTGCTTCTTGAGAATGTGTTTTTGTGCACAAGTCCTGGTTTGGAGCATTTGTCCTGTCTAATGGGATATTTGACTGCAGTATCTCAATGGAGCTTAACAGTTTTCTTCCTGGAAGACGTTAGTGTATATAACTATATAAAGGCTGAACCTTTAAAAGCAAAAGGGCGCTAAAGGGCAAAAGATGTGCAAATACAGAGCAACTTTCCTAATCCATATACACTCAGACTGTTTTCCCATGCAGGCTGAGGAAAAGACATAGTCCCATGTAAGAGCTGTGAACACAAGAGTACTCTCTTCACCTGCACTACTAAGCCTTTTTTCTCAGCAAAAATGATGTTGTCAAAGGACTTAACAAAGCGAGCAATCATCTGGGTGAGTAGATATCATATGGAAACATTTCTGCAGTAGTTCATGGCATCAGAAACAGCAAAAAGTGAGTATGCAGCTATCCAAGCTGCTGGACTACTGAATTCCAGGCAAATGGAAGAATGAGGATCAACCAGAAACAAACACAGAATTATCAGTAGATCTTAGAAATAAAGTCTCATCTGCCTGAGCCTTCAGGGATACATCTTCACCTCTGATAAATGTGTCTCTCAAGGGAACTTGACCATGACTGTGACTTTTAAGAGCTGGAAAATTTTTGAAGAACCACACCATTCTGCTGCAAGGAATTCCACAGCTTAATGATATTTTACATGAAGAACCACGTCCTTCAGTTTTTATTTTTATTTTTTTGTTTTCCTTAATCTACCACATGCTATCTGCAAATGATTTCTATCACATGTCTCTATCCCAAAACAAGCTCCACCTCTATTATCCTGACAGACTGCAGAACAGGAGGAGAAAAAAGAGAGGGGAGGAGAAAAGGAGAAAAGGAAAAAGGAAAAAGGAAAAAG